AATTAATCTATTATTTAGGTTAGTTTAAATACACATTATCAGGCATTGCATTGCAGTTTTATATTTTCCAACTTTGTATTGCAATTTATTTTTTATAGTAGTCAAATTAGTCACATCCAATATTCGAATATTAGCAAATGACCATTTACCATAGTGATAGAAAAAAATTGAGTCATTGCATGATTGCGTGAGTTCGAATCCCGTAAATAACTAACAAAAAATATATTCAAATATTAAAATTAAGTATTTGATTATAATAAATTTAAAACTGCAATGCAAAGTCTGAGTTTACGTTTGCTTTACATAAACTGCATTGCCAATCTGGTCAAAAGCAAACTGCATTGCCAATCTGGTCAAAAAGTAACTTAATAATTATTACAGGAAGAAAATTACCAATCCAAACACAAAAGTGACTATAATTATGTGCCAAATTATCAAAACGGCACGTTGCTTTTCTAAAAATAAGATTAGAGTTGTGCTATCTACATACCTTATATTACTTCTCACATAATCTTTGATAATTTATATCCGTTGATCTTTTTCAATTCATCCGATCCGACAGCCGAAAATTAAAAAAATGTGTAAAAAGTAAAATATGATGTATGAATATCACATCCCTAATATTAATCGTGGAATAATCTGCTGCCGCAATGTCAATATCTCCTTCTTGACTTCTTGCATTAAATTTTGAGGACCCTCACGTTTCTTCAAATGATGTGTGAAATAAGATTAAAATAAATACAGGTGTTCTTTAATAGATATGTCATATATGATGTGACAATTGAATCATTTAATTCTTTACTTTTTATCTGTTTTTTTTTCATATCAAACAAAGAATGAATCAAATATATTTAATTTAACAAAATCTATCGTTTGATCAAAAAAATATATAGATATTTAATTTAATTTTTAAAACATGAGTCCCATTGAACCAATAGAATAAAAACTAAAACCAATTTTAATTATTTTTTAATAGTTAATGTAACTATAGGCCCAAGTGGAGGTGGAGAGCAATTCAACTCAAGCTCTTGACGCTTTCAGAGATCACTCAAGAGACTAGTTTGCGTTGGGATTAATAGCAGAGATACTTTTCAGAGTGCGGAAACTCTACACCTTCTAAGTTTCTACACGTCCCTAGAACTTGTAATGGAATAGCCCAAAGATTGGCTCAGTTTGCTACTTCCATTGGCAATGTGATAGTTTGGTTCGAGGATCCCTTGACCTTATTCAGGTTCTCCTCCTCTAAGATATGATGTAACGTTCAGTTTCAAGTCGATAATAAATCGTCTTCCTTTCAAAAAAAAAAAAATGACATATTATGATGCTTATACAACATCTACAAAGGAGATGTCAAAAAGTAATGGTAATAAAAGACCACATTAGTACTTTCCAACTGAAATCTCAATTTTTAGGTGGTATGACGTGGATTGCCAACAAAGGTGGTCGGTGTCAAATTTGACAATAACTTCAAATACATTTTTAATTGATTAATACTTTAAGGGAATTTTGCACAAGTACCATCTAAACTTTCAATTTTGTATTTTTACCACTTGAATAAAACTTTAAGGGAATTTTGCACAAGTACCATCTAAACTTTCAATTTTGTATTTTTACCACTTGAACTTTATCAATTGTCAGAATCTACCACCTACTGTTACTTTCTATCCATTTTGTTGTTAAAACATATCCTTTGTGGGGAGCATTTTCGTCATAAACACCACCTAAACATATCTACCACCTATGTTTGATGAAGCACAAGTTTTGCTATTTAGTATATGCCTAATTTCCCATAACTTATTTGTTATAGTTGATGAAGCACAAGTTTACTATGGGCGATTTATGTTATTTTTAAACTTTATGGAATTACAAAAATCAAGAATCTATCGTTATGATGAAAAAACTAGTTTTACATGCCATGAAAAACACTAGATATTCATCATTTCCCCACCACACCAATTATTTTACTGCCTCTAAGAAGAGCAGCAACCAGAATTTTGGTTCACAGGTTGTCCCTTAATCTGCACAGTTGGAGGCTTGACGTTGTTCATCAATTCGCTTGCCATCTCGCAGGTAAAATGTTTTAGGACCATGCAACCATAACTATATCATACTTAACGAATTTATGCAAAAATCTATTAATTTTTTACAAAATTGGGGGCTTGACTTATGCATCCAATTTTGGCGCCATATTGACTTGGACAGTTGTATTTAGGAGTTATTTTATTCTAACCAACCCTATGAAGTTAATTAACGAAAATACCCCCACAAGTGACGTGCTTTAACATCAAAATGGATGGAACGTAACAGTAGGTGGTAGATTCTAAGATAGTTTACATGGTAAAAAACTACAATTGAAAGTTCATGTGGTATTGGCGCACATAATTTTAAGTTCAGGTGATACTTGCAAAAAAATTTCAAACTTTAAAGACGATCAAGTCATCAAAGTCCACGTAGACTTTCAAACTTAAATTTTATATTTAAAATAGTATAAACTAGGTTCTCATCCCTCTTTCTTTTATTGCATTGACTAAAACCTTATTTCTTTTTAATTTTTTATTAAGGTCCCTAGCTTTTAATGAACGTCATTATTTCAATTATAAATTATTTACATACCAACATAATTAAATTTTATTTCTACAATATATTCATTTAGAGTTAGTGTAATATCTCACATCGCCCAGGGGAGTGATCCCTAAATGTATATTCACATCCCTACCTAGCACGAGGCTTTTTAGGAGCTCATTGGCTTCGGGTTCCGTAGAAACTTCAAAGTTAAGCGAGAATGAGGCCAGAGCAATCCCAAGATGGGTGACCCATTGGGAAGTTGCTCGTGAGTTCCCAAAAACAAAACCGTGAGGGAATGGTAAGCCCAAAGCAGACAATATTGTGTTACGATGATGAAGTGGTCCCGGGAAGTGGTCTGTCCCGGGCCGGGATGTGACAAATGGTATCAGAGCCAATCCCTGGCCGGAAGTGTGCCGACGAGAACGTCGGGCCCCTAAGGGGGTGGATTGTAACATCTCACATCGCCCAGGAGAGTGATCCTTAAATATATATTCACATCCCTACCTAGCATGAGGCATTTTGGGAGCTCACTGGCTTTGAGTTCCGTAAGAACTCCGAAGTTAAGCGAGAAGGAGGCCAGAGCACTCCCAGGATGGGTGACCTACTGGGAAGTTGCTCGTGAGTTCCCAAAAACAAAACTGTGAGGGAATGGTAAGCCCAAAGCAGACAATATTGTGCTACAGTGATGGAGCGGGCCTGGGAAGTGGTCCGTCCCGGGCCGGGATGTGACAGTTAGAAACATTACAGTTGGTATATATATATTTATGGTTAAACTTTGTATTATATATTTATATTTTTAGTTTGTACCAATGTTCTTTTTAGTTTTAATTTGTACCCATATATTAATTTCATTTTGTGCCCATATTTTTAAAAGTTTTATTTATACTCATAATTAATTTATAATGTACCCATTTTTTTTTATAAATGTACCACTTTGTTAAATGTAAAATGTACCCTTTTTTTCGTGAATGTACCTTTTTTTATGTAAAATGTACCTATTTTTTACTTATAATGTATACATATTTTATAATAAAATGTACCCCTTTTTCAAAATTTTGAACACTACGGGTACATTCGTTTTGACATTTATCATTTCAAAGTTATATTGTTACATGTTTTTATCTATACATCCAATAAAAAAATTTGTTAGATCCCACATCGTCCAGGGGAGTGGATCCTCTATGCCTTATATGTACATGCTCACCTCCATATAGCACGAGGCTTTTTGGGAGCTCACTGGCTTCGGATTTCATCGGAACTCCTAAGTTAAGCGAGTTCGCGCGAGAGCAATCCCATGATGGGTGACTCTGACTTGTAGGTGACTGCACTTAGCAAGCTTCACGTGATCGTAGCACTAGAACGTATATTATTATTACACCCAATCTGTCGTACATGTCACGTTAGGTGACTCCGACTTGCGTGCTAGTATAGATTGATGAGCCATAGGTGACTTCGACTTGCGTGCTAGTATATTTGTCAAGCACATGCCTATATTTCTATTCTTGTGAATTATTCCTGTTGTGGCATATTTCTGATATATATTGTTGGCATACATTGAGTCTTCATACTTATACGTAGTATGATTTTAAGGAAACTATACTTGTTTTATAGCGATGAGTTAATATGTTCGAAAATAAAGGTTTTCTTACGAACGTTGTTTTGCTGACCCACTCAACTTTATTTTTCGCCCCTCCAGGTTTAGTAGCTGTGCTTACTTGTAAACGAGGATTCTTGCAAATCTCAGGAGATAGTTATCATTAGTGGTATAACCCTCATCCTATTTACTATACTGTCTCATGCTCTGACATCACGTGTGAAATGGGTGCAATCCCGCTCAACTTGATTCAGAATTCAAGTGAACTTTCTGGATTGGGGTGTGTCAAATTTTGAGAATTTTCTCTTTTATTGTAATCATTTTTAATTTATATGCCATATAATATGAGATTTTAAATCCCACTAACATGTCAAGTAATTAATATCAAACATATGAAAATACATATTAATAGCAATAATGAGGTGTACAAAGTCAAAGAACTTTAATAAAAAATTAAATACCATTAAGGTTTTAATCAAGGGAACTGCTATTAGCACTCAAAAAATCTCATTCTACGCTCATAACAAGTGTATTTTTTTTTTCTAATTATAAAAAATTAATATACCAAATGAAATTTTTGAAATGCTAATAACAATTTCCTTAACCAAAGAATATTAATGGTTAGGAACTGAATCCTTTTAAAAAATCACATCTCTAGGATATGCTCGGAGAATTTACCTTTCAAAAACTCAGCGTTTTGAACCTTTTCACCTCTTAAAAAAATAAAAAGAAAAGGCAGGTAGTACTGTGTAATTAATTGTAACCCTTTTCAAATTCCACCAACCACAAAATCCTTCGTCTCTCTCGGCTTTCTCTCTATTTACCAGTTACCCACAGTTACTCTTTACTATCTCTGCCTTTCATTGGGGAGGGTAACTAGTAAGCAGAAAGATTAGGGGGTGCGCCAAGAGCCCTTAAATTTACAACACCCCTCCGCCTCTCCGACCTGGATAGATCCTAAACGTCCTACACCAATCTCTCCCTTCATCCCATGCGACAATTTCCCTGAAAAGCTCTCCGGGCTTTACTGGTCTTCTTCTCCAGATTTTGAGGTAAAACAATGAATATTTTTAAATATTTTAATGTTTTAGTTCAATTAATTTTCGATTGATTTGTGCTTAAGCTTCACCTTATCGATTGCCCGTAAACTGTTATTTGCACTTTACAATCCAAATCTTTGTTGTGTTCTCTGTAAAAACTGAATCTTCATAGGCGTCTCTTGCCCTTGCGTAGTTAGTTTATCGTGTAGCAGATAGTGGGTTTTGATTGTTCTCCTCGTTTCTTGGATTTGTTTTCAATTATTGCAAAAGGGTTTCTCTTCAAATTTAGAATCTGTTATGGGTTTTGCTGCTTCTTTTTTTTCATGTAATTTTGAGCAGAATCTATTTATTTGAGTAGATAATGGGATTCGGTTTACATTTTGTACTTGGTTGTTTGCGGTAGTTGCTAATGGTTATTGATCTTTTGCTCATATTGTTATCATTATTATTGTTGTTATAGTTGGCGTGTTTTGATTTGTTTTAGGAATTTATGGGGAAGAAAGTTAAGAAGAAGGCTAGAGCTCCTCCAAGGGAGAAGTTGGTTGCAGCGGATTCCCCCAAAAAAGCCCCCCAACCAAGCAACCCAAGTGTTAAGGACGGTGATGATGGGGTTTCAGTTGCGAAAGAGAGAAGGCCTTGTCCTCATGTTGACAAAGGTGTTGATTTGGATAAATTGTCTGCTAAAATTGGGTCTTCAGGACCTGTTAGGTGTGAAGATTGCAGGGAAGGAGCACTTGATAGGAGGGGTGGTAAAGGAAAGGGAAAACATGGGAAGAAGAAAGGAAGTTCCTCAGTGGATTCAAAATCGGAGTCCAAAGCCATTTGGGTTTGTTTGGAGTGTGGTCATTATTCTTGTGGTGGGATTGGACTTCCTACAACCCCTCAATGTCATGCAGTTCGGCATGCTAGGCAGACTCGTCACCCAATAGTGATCCACTTTGAAAAGCCACAGATGCGGTGGTGCTTCCCGTGCAACATGCTTATTACAATTGAAAAGACGGAAGAGGATGGTGAACAAAAAGATGTGTTTGCTGATGTTGTAAAATTGATAAAGGGTCATTCATCGGAGGGATCATCAGTTAATGCTGAGGATGTGTGGTTTGCGAGTGGCAGTGTGACAAGCGAAATCAAATCAGCTAGCAATATATCAAGTGGTTTGGATGGAAGAGGTGGTTATATGGTTAGAGGCTTGGTTAATCTTGGTAACACTTGCTTCTTTAATTCTGTCTTACAGAACCTTCTAGCCATAGATAGGTTGCGGGGTTACTTCTTAAATTTAGATGCATCTACTGGAGCTCTTACTGTTTCATTGAAGAAACTCTTTACTGAAGCAAAACCAGAGGCAGGACTTAAGAATGTGATAAACCCAAGGTCACTTTTTGGTTGTGTTTGTTCCAAGGCTTCCCAATTTAGGGGGTATCAGCAGCAAGACAGTCATGAATTGCTTCGTTGCTTACTGGATGGATTGTGCACTGAGGAGTTGAGTATGAGGAAACGTATAAATTCTTCTCAGGAAAATGGGAATCCATCAATCTCAGGTCCTACTTTTGTGGAAGCTGCATTTGGGGGCCAAACATCAAGTACTGTTTGCTGTGTTGAATGTGGTCACTCCTCAATTGTGTACGAGTCATTTTTAGATCTGTCATTGTCAGTTCCAACCAGAAAATCCCCATCTAAGGCTGCCCAACCCACCTCTCGAGCAAAGAAGACGAAGTTGCCGCCCAAGAGGAGTGGAAAGCTTCGGCCTAAAAATAACAAAGAGAAGAATTCTGTACCATCACCAAGTGTTCCAACGCCATCAACCAGCGGTGAGGTTTCTGACCATTCTGACCAGCCACAGTCTAGTTCAACCGACCCAAATGTGGCTGAACAAAAGGAATTAGTTGTAAATAGTCTATCTGCTGTCCAAGAATCTCCAAATGAACAAGTCTGTGAGGATGCAGCAGAGCAAACATCAACTTTGTTGGATGACTGTTCAGGGTTGGATTATCTTGATTCGGGAAATATGGTAGATGACAATGAAGTCTGTGAGGATGCAGCAGAGCAAACATCAACTTTGTTGGATGACTGTTCATGGTTGGATTATCTTGATTCGGGAAATATGTTAGATGACAATGATTTCTCTTCACAAAATAATGATGTCTCAATTGTTCAAGATTCCGAAAACAAGAGTTCACATCTTAATGATGTCTCTCTACAGAGTGGCTCTGAATCTAGTAATCAGGTTTTTACACTTAATAAGGAACCGAATGTAGAACCTGACCGTTCTTCAGTGAATTCTTGGGAGGAAGAGCTCCCATTACAGGTTCAGGATTCTGAAGTTTTGTTGCTTCCATATAAAGCAGAGTGTTCTACCACTGAGGAAATCATGGGAGGCGAAGGTGAGGCCTCCTCATCGGTTGTGGGTTGTGGACAAGATGACTTTGGCTTTGGGGACTTATTCAACGAACCTGAAGTTTATGGGCCCCCTACAAGACCCTCTGTAGGTGAGGGAGGCACAGACACTAGTATCATAGCTAGTGAGTCTGATCCTGATGAAGTTGATGATACTGATTCTCCAGTGTCTGTAGAGAGTTGTTTGACTCATTTCATAAGGCCTGAGCTTCTTGCCAATGAAAATGCTTGGCATTGTGAGAACTGTTCCAAAATTCTTCAACGCCAAAGGTTGGAAGGAAAGAAGCAGGGAAAATCTGCTGCTAAAGTTTTGATAAATGGATGTGAGGCTAGAACACAAAGTGATTCACTGAGTTTAAATACGGGTCCTGCTGATGTCAGAAGGCTTGGTAATGGGAATGTCAAAAGCAATACTGGTTGTAATCAGTTTGGTGAAAACTTCGTTTTGCATGATGGAAAAATAAATTGCTGGAACCAAAATTGCTCAGCAATTGAGAATGGTCGATCAGATAAGTCGAATTCTGTTGTTTGTCAACGACAAGATGAGATGGAAGATGCTCCTCCAGTGCAGTCAAATACGTCAGATTGCACTAACGCTTGCAGTCTAGAAAGTTTCAGTGATCAAGTCATTGATTCTAGGGCTGATGAGTCTAGAAGTGCTAGTTTCACCTGTGACATTGTACCACAGACTAATTATGGGATATTGGATGGACATCGTGAATCAGAAGAAAGTGAGGATGAGGAAGTAAATTCCAAACGTGTGAATGTGAAGAGGAATGCGACTAAAAGGTACCTCATCAACAGGGCCCCACCTATTCTGACTATTCATCTTAAGAGGTTCAGCCAAGATGCTCGTGGTCGCTTAAGTAAATTGAATGGCCATATCAGTTTCCAAGAAAAAATTGATCTTAGGCCATATATGGATTCCAGGTGTCTATCTTACTCTTATTAAAGTTTATTTTACATTTCAAAATGCCACAGAAACATTACTGCTTGTTATCATGATTCTGTTTTGGCCCTTTCTTGGAAGAAACATTCAAAATGTTAGGAAAACCATTTTATACCATCTTAATGGGAGGGGGAGAGCAGGGTTAGCACTAGTAGGTAGACAACAACAGCTTGCGAGGGGGTTGTGGCACGTGATTGGCAGATCATTTGTCACCTCAAGAACTTGAACTCTTAATATACTACTCTGAAATAGAATTATTCTATGACTCCATAGGATGTCCCTGCATAGAGCTGAATGGTGACCATACTGTTAATATTATCTTTATATCTTGTTTCCTTTAAATAATGCACTATAGTTTGTGTGTTTGTTTTGGAATTATCATTAAATAATGGACTATAGTTTGTGTGTTTGTTTTGGAATTATTACCTCAATTTGGTGTGGGCCCCCTAGTTTTTGGGGCTAGATGTAACCTAACTCTTTGCTACCCAAGGATTGAAGTTGCTAGCCCATGTGGTGGATGTAGCCCCATTTTCCGGCCAACTAGGGATGAAAATTTTCATTAGAGCTACAAATGTGGTAGCCTCAAGGAGGATAAAGCCCCCATTGGGGATGCTCTAAGGTCATTAGCACTGGTAACTTTTTTTTTTTTGGAAATAGGAAGAAAAAAGGTATTTAGTCCTTTTTTTCCTGTCGGAGATAACAGGAGTGAAATTATTACACATAATGGAGGAAGCATATTAAATGAGAGTTAATATGTCAATAACACCAAGGAGAAATTAAGCTACATTATGCTTTCGACATTTAGAACTTTTTTTCATAGGTTTCCATACTTGTTTAAGCCTTTCTGTTCTGTTGTTCCATGTGTTGTTACATACATAGAGCTTGTTTTGATGTCTTTTGGAAACGGAATCAAGTAGTCATCTATGCATAATTTTTAATTTTTTTCACGTGGTTGAAATGATTCAGTTCTAAAAACAATTACAATTTGCTTCATCTGATTTACTCCTAATGCCAATACATGGGTGAGCTTCTCTCTGTGAAATTATCATAATGTAGAAGATATTGCCGATGCGTATATTGACTCATAATGTAGTTACATGTGCTTCACATGGTACTTGCTTGCTCGTTTTGTTCCTAGTTTCCTTTGTGTGGTTTAGACTGAATTAATTGGTTATACAGATTGCAAATTATATTTCCGATTGCCAAGTGTATTAATAGTGTGGCCATGGTGTTCTTTTGAGCTTTACAGGTGCACAGATGGGGAAAAGTATGAATACCAGCTACTTGGGGTTGTGGAGCATTCTGGAACCATGAGAGGGGGCCACTATGTTGCATACGTGAGAGGGGGTGAAAGGAGCAGAGGAAAAACTGAGAGAGAAAATACTGGTCATGCGTGGTATTATGCTAGCGATGCACATGTGCGTCAGGTTCCCCTAGATGACGTTCTTCGCGCTGAGGCCTATATCTTATTCTATGAAAAAACTTGAGGTGAATCCAACTTTCAATAGGACGTTGCTGGCGTTTCAAAAGTTCCAGTTCTCGGCCTAAAAGACACCTGAGCTTCCACACATGGGAGAAAGAAGAGATTGAGAGAGAGAGAGAGAGAGAGAGAGGAACACCAGAGGTGAGTGTACAACTCTGATAACCATATGTTTTTTATACCCATTCTTTGAAGATGTAATGATCTTTTAGATGTATACCGCTAGTTATATCATCAAAAAACGGGGTTTTCTTTGTTTTACAGCCCCATTGCCCCAGGGGCCTTTGCTGCATCAATTACTCAAGATTTCTAAGTAATGTTTGTTGTTTACTAAGATTACATTTTAGGCAAGAAGCATTGCTCATTTGTGCTTCAATGAGAATTTCTTTTCATCCCTTTGATTGAGAATTGTTTCGGCAACTTAATACACCGTACATTACATTACATGATCCAGGCTTGAATATGAGCACGACTTGTGGCTTGAAAGAGGGTTGGTGCATGCACTGTATGTACTTAAATCTATTGCAACTGGTAAACTATCTTGTCAGCTGCAATTTTCCTCACGCTAGAAGTTCGACGATTCTCACTCTTTAGTTTCTCAGGCTCTTCGTTATTTATGGCCGTCTGATTGAATGAATCAAAGTCTCCTCCATTGTTATATTATCTTATACAAAAGCTCTAGTACTAATGTGTGAAGATTAGTTTCTAGTTTAATCTTGAGCATTCTTATCTTTCTCTTTGAGTGTTTAGGGTTTGTCTTAGGAGTGTGCACAATTTTGACAGACAATAGGTGTAAGGTCGAACTTTATTGTATTCACAAGGCTTATTCGCATATTCACTTTGCACATTAAATGTGGGGGCGAATAGAGTCTGAATGATAGCATATTTATTCAACAAAAACAAAAATTAACGTATTTGTACGTGCGCTGAAGCAATCTTTAATCCTTTATTATTGCCATAACCCACATGTTTACTAACAAATTTCAACAACTTTTAGCCGGAATTTGTGCAAAACATGTCTCCAACCAAGGGCTAAAGAAAACTTTATAAGAGCAGGTTTATTGAGCACTAAATGTAAATTTAAGTCGAAAACTAAAAAAATATAGTAGTGAGGCCCAAAACATTATTCAAATGGGGTTCCGTCCTTCAAAATATCAACAGAAAGTCTTTACTTTAATTTTCAAAACTTCACACACAGTGAGGTTAGGTGATAATAAATAGATTGAACGATGATTTATGTATGAATTTACGAAACTGACTAAAAACAATAGCCCACGTTTTTTTGTCAGAAATGCAAATTTTTTATTTTTGCTAAATATTTTCCATCACCATTAAGAAAAACTTTATAAGGCATTTGAAATCAGATTTACGATTTATTGAGCAACATGTTTAAATATGAACAATGATTTAAATTAATGTAAGACTGGGCGAGACGAAAATGAAAATAAATAGATAGAACGATGACTTAAGTACGATTGGGCGAGGATCGGTAGAGTGGTACCAATCTTTCCCTACTCCAATTTATTTACTTTGTTTGACTAACCACTATTAAATTCAAATGTCTTTATATTTAGGTTTTACATCGTTAATTACAAGTGTCTAAATATGCAATAATAGATTTTGTACGGAAAAATATATTTTGAAGAAAATAAATATGATAGTTTATTGTTATGGTAAGAGAAATAAAAGAAATATTAACAACAAAAAAAAACTAAAAATGAAAAAAAATTGAAAAAAAAGGGGAGGGGAGAATCGTTATGATGGTAGCGACAGTTATTGGAGTTGATCGGTATAACAATACCGATCATATCATTTTTTATTTTTTATTTCTCTTTTTCCATTGAATTTTTTTTCTTCCTACCTTACTTTATTTAAATTCAAATATCTTTATATTTAGATTTTTACCATTGTTTTCGAGTGTTTTGATGTGGATTATAAGAAATTTTTTGCAGAAAATACATTTTGTAGAACATGAAGATGATTGTTTGGCGTTATGGTAAGGAATTTTTTTTAAAGCAAAAACATAAAACAAATAAAATTGACGGTTTGGGTGCGGGGAGATGCAACAGTAGCCCAAGCCCAGCGAGCTCAAGCACTAGCCGCATCCCATACCCATGCCCTTGGGAAGGCCTAAGACGCAGTAGAAGCAATGGAGGCCCTTGAGGTTTAGGGTTTAGAAGCGTGTGAATAGTATGGGCCATAAAATTAACACCTTGAGTTCGGCACGTTTCAACGCCCGACATGTGTATCCCAAGTGAAGATGGAAATATTTAGTCCTTCATGGCTAAAGATGGAAAAGTTTAATCCTATAGTAGTCTCAAAGATTAATTTTTGAACAGCTAATACATAGCTAAGGGTTATGCTTATAGCCCTCCACAACCAGAGATAACTTGAGGGTTTGCTATTTGCAAGGCTAGGCCAAATTTAGCCCTAATTCTTTTTAGCATATTCATTTTGGCTCTTAGCTGAATATGAGTTTAACATAAATTGTGGCTAAAATGGCATATAATACTGATTGGAGATTGTGTGACTAATGCTTGCATTTTCGTTGAGAAAATGAAAGATTTTATTTTAAAAGTGGGGTGAACAGCATTTACACCCAATAACAGCACTCAATTTTATTTTTTTAAATCTTTTATACAAGTGGGGAGGGTAAAATCAAATATAGAATTTAAATATATAAATAAATGCTCTTAACCACTTCAACTACAAATTTCAAATATAACAAAGAGCATGAATATGCCAATCTTAGTATACAATTCTCCTATAATTTGGTTTCACTGACATCGTGCGATCCTCAATCAGTGTACGAGTTGCCAGTCAGTAGCCCTAATCAATCTCTTTTGCTATAACATTCATTCAACTTATTGATTCTCCTACTTATTTTCTCCTCTGCACACTCATGTTTCTTTATGGTCATAATATCTCTTACGAACATATATTAAATTGCAATAGTAAGTGACGTTTATAATCATAATAAAATGTAAATCAAAAGAAAAATCAAACAACATGAATGGGTAATAGTGCGTAGAATGAAAAAATAGTACGTAAAAATTAATTTTCTATTTACTATTATTTATTAAGGAAACTGATGAAAAGAACTTGAAAACTTTAAGTTTTAAAGATAAGATAAAGATAAAATAAAAGATAAAGTGAATAGTATCAGGATTGATTTTTTAATATAAAAATATAATTTTTCGTTAAAGTAAACAGTGCTATAAACTTTTTGTTAAAGTTCGCTATTTATTATCCTCTTGGCCAATGAAAACATTCATTACCTTCCAAAAATAACAAATGAAAACATTCATTCAATTCAGATTATCAGTATAAATACGAAATACTGAGCAAAAGAAAAAGAAAAGCACCACCAGCAGGCACCAAAGCCAGAGAAACATAAAAAAGAGCTAAAGCTCTCTCTCTCTCTCACTCTCTCTCTCTCTCTCTCTCTCTTCCTTTACCAACTTAGTTTAGCAGCAGCCATTAAGTTCATAACTTTTCTTTCTTTCCATGGCTCCACTCTCACTCTCCAACCAGCACCCATTAATCTCCTTCCTCTTCTTCCTCACACCCATTGTCATGGTGGTGGGCATGCTTGGAGTTTTCGGGGTGGACGGAGCAAATTCTCCGACGTCTTCCAGCACAACATGGTGTGTGGCTAGGAGTGATGCGAGCGCACAGGCTCTTCAGACAGCCTTGGACTATGCATGCGCAGCTGGTGCGGACTGTTCTCCAATCCAATCCGACGGACTATGTTATCTCCCAAACACCATCCAAGCTCATGCCTCTTATGCCTTCAACAGTTACTACCAGCGCCAGGCTAAGGCCCCTGGTTCTTGCGGCTTCTCCGGCACTGCCACCATTGCCCAAACAGACCCCAGTACGTCGTTCATTTCTCTCTTCCTTTTCCAATCCTCCATAAAAAAACCAATACAAAATATTTTTTGATATTTTTTGATATTTTATAGTGGGGGACTAATTTGTTTATTGTTAATTTCCTTTTGTGTAGGTTATGGATCTTGTGATTACCCATCTTCCACAAGGTACGTTGCTCTTCTTTTAATTTCTTTTACCAAAAAAATAAAGTAGTCTTATATTTTACTCCTAGGATGCACTGTTTCATTTGATGACTGGATTTGCGTGTTTTAATTTAAACGTTACATTTTAGCGGTATATAAAGCGATTGAATCACATACACCGGTGTACTCGTATGAATTTCTAGTTTAGTTTGGGTACATTTCTTGGTGATTGAAATCAAATTTCTTCATGTTCACGCAATTAGATCCTTCTCTTTTTCTTCTTTCGAATTTGTTAAGAGATTAGAAAATAAAGAGTTGATTTTTATATGATGAATATTGAAAAGAAGAACACTTTGTAGAAAACCATTCTCTTTGGTTGCTGTAATTCTCTGTACCCAACAGAAGAAAAAATTACTTTGGTTCATAGAGAGAGGATTGTGTCTCTCGGGGGAAACTTCTTATGGATGTTTGACACGTGTCTTTCTGCATGGGACGCTGGTACTGACACTTAAATCAAACCGTCCGTTTCAAGTTATTGCTGTCAGTCTTTTCGCAGTTTCTCTCTCTTGGAAATCTTGGGTTGCCCATTGTTTTTGTAATTGTGTATTTTAACTCTATTTATTTTTTGGAAAGAAAAAAAAGATTCTATTTATTTGATTTTTTAAAAAATTATTTTTCTGGGTGCATGCTTGGATTCGAAATTGTACTTGTTTTTTGGTTCTGAAATCAGACTTGACCTTAATTTCCTACCGTTGGATTTGTCCTTAGATGCAACCAAACTAATGGTCAAGATCACATCTGATGGTTCACTTGGTTGCTTTTTTAGTGGGCACAGTGAGTGACTGGCATATGGTACCTATTCTGGTGTAATGTAATTATGCACTCTTCTGATCCCTCTCTGCTTCTTTTTCTGCTTTCTTCACCACACTTTTACCGTTTTGGACATGTTTTGAATTTTAATATTTTTTTTTAGTATCAAGATTTTTAGTCTCAAAAATTTAAGTGTACAAGATACACCAGAGCATATTAAAAAAATTTCGATTTCATTTGATTGAACTAAAATTCCTTTTTTGGGTAGAACAAAAACCAAACTTTATTTCACTAAGTAGAGTTAGCTCGACTGCATCAATCCTAAAATATCATTGAGTTCAATTTTGCATTAAGTCTTCCATTAGGTCTTTTTTTTTTGGGTGGGGTGTGTTTTGAATTCTATTTATCTTCTTATTAAAACATTTAATGTAATTACATTTTCTTGATCCCTTGCTTAAGTAGCACATAATGGTAGATCATAGAAGATTAGTCTTCGCATTTACCCTCCTAATTTTGATTGTGGGCCCAAGATTAATTAACTGTCCAAAAGGAAATTCAAAGATGGAAAAGGAGGCTTGGGCGTGTGGGCCAGTTTCCAGTTTGGGACTGTATCTATATCTCACATGTGAATGTTCTTATTCTTGCATTAAGAGTATTTTGACTGATCATCTTCTGTTTTCTTTTTAATTTAAAACTTTTTTTTTCTGTTTATTTATTGTTGTGCCTTATAATTTAGGAGATTTTAACGAAAAACACCCGATACTGTTCACTTTAACAAAAAATCACATTTTTACACTAAAAAGTCAATCCTGGTACTATTCACTTTACCTTTTATTTTATCCTTATCATTAAAACTTAAAGTTTTCAAGCTATTTTTATTAGTTTTCCTTATAATTTATTGGTGATTTTGATTATGTGAGAAGAGAGTTGCTCTCTTTATAGTTTGAGAACAGCTTAGCTTACATGACACGATTAGATTCTGTATTAATTTATTGCAAATTTGCAGCGCGGCTGGCGGGACAACTTCACCTTCCACACCACCAACAGTTCCGAATCCACAAACGCCGCCATCAACATTCGCACCACCCTTCACCGCCTCCACCGGCGGATTCACTCCTGGATCGACCCCGATGATCCCTGACGATAACTCAAAAGCGTCCCTCGACTCCATGTCCCCAACAATCTTGATGCCCATTTCCCTTGTGCTCGTTCTTTTATTCACCTAAAATTAAACCCCCCAATGTAGGTCGTTTATTTTTTTAATTTCCTAGTTGCAGCAACAATATTGCCCTGATGCGGAAAAGAGGCTATACATTTTTTTGTTAGAAGTTGAACCTTCTTTGTCTGCCTCTTTCTTGCTAAGCCTCCCGATTAGTATTTTTCCAAACTAAATTTTGGGTCTCAGTCTCTTAATTTCGAACCAATAGTTCAATAAATTCATTGCCAAATATATCGTCGATTTCAATTTTTTACAGCCAGGTTACACGTACCAAGTAAAATAACGGTGATTACGTTCAAAATGTACCTTAAAAAAAACACAATGAACTGCCTCTTTGAGGCTTTGAGTATAACCAGTTTCAACGTCAATGAGCTCGTTTGGACATGCTTTAAACTCGTTTGGACATGCTTTAAACTCGTTTGGATGTGTTTTAAACTCGTTTGGATGTGTTTTTGAAATGACTAAAAACGCTTTTAGTGAAAATGTTTTTAAAACCAATCATTAGTAAAGATGGAAGTAAATCCTAGAAAAGCATTAAAATGCTTCCTGAACAAAGCACATAACTAATGTTTATTGCATAAAGCACTTTAACTGCTTTGAAACCTAAAAATTTTTTTTTTAAAATGCTTTCAGTCATTTTAAAAGCTCATGAGCCCAATTTCTACGGCAATGGTCGATATTGGGTCGATATCACGTCCTATATGCAAGAATGGCATCAATATGAATATGTGCAAGCAGTGACACAACTGCTACCAGCAAGAACCTATGGAACAAATTGGCAGACCCTGGCCTTGTGCTCGACATCGGGCGAAAGAACAAATCGCATTCGACACGTACATAAAAATAACCAAATGAAAACTTGCAAGAAGAAAAATAGGACTGACTCTTTCCAAGTAAGGAATTATTTTTCTCATTTGCATGGCAGTACTGTAAAGAAATCATAAACAAACTGCAATGGAGAAACCAACAATGAACAAGACGAATGAAAAGAGCAAGAGTCTGAACAAACTGCAATGGTGACAATTTCATTCATATATAGAAACTATACGGTCTTAAGATCCTGCCTAAAAAACACATTTACCACATCGATTCCTCCCATGTTGTTATAGGATTTGACCACGGCCGTGCTAACGTTGGAATGAAAGAGAATATGAGCCAGTGTTTGGATCTTTGACAGCTTTAAAGTTGTCGACGCTCATTCCAAAACGGCCCAAGAGAGAATTGCCCATTTCTTTCAGCTTCCCTGCTCACACACACAACAATTTCAAACCCTTAGTCCATAAAAGATTTCTTTTACTTTTATCCTTCTTATGAGAAAATTTAATGTTAGCGAGTGAAAAGTACAGAAACGTAGATTACAGAGATCAATGCGTCACACCAACAGCCTAGGCTAAGACTTATGCCACATACATGCAAAATATATCACTCATAGGCATAGCAATTTTGGACATGACGTCTGATGTCACCAGAAAGCACTGAATATGCGAACAACCACCACAGTCATGAGATAGAAGAATTGAAACAAACATCTTTAATAACATAATCACTTATCTTTAATAACATAATCACTTCCTAAAAGAGAACCAATGTGTTAAATATTCATTTAGTTGACAGCATCTAGAAGGATAAAAAATTGCCCTACCGCTCCCTAGCAACTCCTATGGAAACCATGATCAAGTTTCTATGAAAAGCTAGCGAGTCATGAGAAAAGATCATATGTCATCAAAGAATTGACCAGTAGGCTGCTTCTTAGTACTTTCTTCTTTCCACTATTAGTTACTTTGGTCATTCGGCAAGTAATTATTTGACTTCGCAAAACCACATTGCTTATTGCCAGGTAATACAGTCCAATTTGCGCATCCTTTGGTCTTTGTTTCTCAAGATAAAGAAATAAGCCATGTTAATGTGAAGGCTTGCAGAATGGTCTGTCTATGAGATGGATTGGGATTCTTTTCCGTGCTTTACTGGAAAATTATGTAATCATGGTACGGATAGCATTTGGGAATAATTTGATTGAGTGGGCACAAGAAAGAAAATATAAAACCACGAAACATGAAGCGGTCAACAATATGCACAAGGAAACAATTAAATCAAACCACCAATAATTTATATACCAAAAAAGGGAGAGAAACTCACCTATCATCTCCTCTTTCATCTTTTCTTTCTTTTCTTCAGCTAGCGGCCCCAACCGGCGAATAGCCTTTTTGGCTTGGTCATTTGAAGGATCAAGTTCCAAGACACTTTTCATATCTGCAGAATATAAACAAGAATTGAGCAATACACATTACTATTAATCTACCAGACCATACAAATGGGAAGACAAGTTGCTTATAGTGGTTAAGTTGTTGTATTGAATTCGAACTTACCAACAATAGCCTCTTCAAAATGCTCGAGCTTTTCATGAGCTTCTGCTCTTCGAAGCAGAGCTTTCATATACGAAGGATTTAGTTCAAGCGCTTTCGTGCATTCCTTGATTGCGTCCTCATACTTTTCCTGTTACATATTTCGAAATTCGGAATCACAGATTGTCTAATATGTGAGAATCAAAGGGGAATCAGAGTCCACAAGAGTTTCCAAAGATGTGAACCGCATAACGTACCAATTTCAAGAAGCATACTGCGCTGTTTAAATGACAAATGGAACGTAATTCGACAGACGATGGCATGTCAGGTGCAAGGTGTAAAGCAAGCTCGTACTGGGATAATGCCTCTTGGTATTGCCCACTGCCAAACAGTCTATTGCCTTCAATTTTCACATCACTTGCTTCTTCAAACGCTTTCTGTTTCCAATGAAATACGAACAAATCGAAAAAAATATATTTCAACACAAAATCAGTTCTCCGATCAGATATGAACACAATGGGTTTTCAGATTTCAGAACAAAATTGAACTCCTCAAGCATCAATTAAGTAATTGATTCGTACAACCCCATATATAACCAATGAAATTAACCAGAACAAGAAATGAAGAGTCGCTTCGATTGGGAGATACCTGATTCGATTCAACGTCGTCGTTCTGGGAGGGAGTTTGTTGTGGCTCGTCTTGGAGATGGAGTTGTTGAGGGATTTCGTCGTCGTTGAGTTCGCCGTCGCTGGCGGTTTCGAAGCCATCGGAGGCATCTCTGTTGGTGGCGGTGGAAGAGGAGGAGGAGGAGGGCTTTGGGGGATTCATATCGCTACGGCATCCATTCTCTTCTTCTTCTTCCTTTATCAGCATCTCTGTTGGTTGAGAAGGTTTTAGGGATTTCGACCGCGTCGCCGTCGATTGCGTTTTCTTCTGGAAATGGAAATTTGATATACGAATACGTATAGATGACTGCACACTCCCCGTGTTTCCAGAAAGCTCTTTTACTCCCTGTTTTTCGTGGGCTGGAATCGGTTCGGTGGGCCAAACCGAAAATTCGAATTGAGTTCGGTAAGACCAAAATCCGAACCGAAATCATATTTGTTATTTTCAAAATTGTTTGTTACTAACTCATAGAACTTCATGTTTATAATTAGAACCATTTATATTATAAACCACTTTATAATGATTGTTTCCACTAAAAATTCAATTAAAATTAGGATCGTTTAGTTATTGAATTGTATAAAAACAGATGAACGAAATTGGTAAAAACATTACAAACCGTTCATGTATTCACTATTATCGATTGACTAACCGACCTTAATTTTAATTTATTTTTTGCAGAGATAATCTTTACAATTGGCTTCATAATATGAACGGTTCTAATCTTTATTAAGGGTACAAGTCAGCAATACAGTTAGAAATATAGTTAGCAAGTTTGTTAGTATTTGGTTAGAGTTATTAGGCTTACTAGTATACATACGAAGTGTGTAATCTTCATTCTTTTGGTTAATACAAATCATATTTGTCTCTCTAAACTCTCTCTAAGATCTTTGTGTTCATCCTTCTATTCATCATTTCTTCTTGATTTTCTCTTCAATTCCCAAACATTTCAATGTCGTTAACAATCTTAAGCACAAAGCTCTATGATAACACGAAGAGTTTTGAGTAGGAGTTCTTATTCATCATTGAGTGGAAAAATCGGTCAGTACAAGCCAGTTCAGTTTTTAATCTAAGCTACAATTGTGGTTCGCTACCCACCTATCAGTTCCTATCAGTTTTTAATCTAAGCTGCAATGGTGGTTTGCTACGCATCTATTAATTGTGGTTTGCTATGCACGTAAACCGCTGGAGGATTACAGAAGAAATTAAATTTTATTGGAAGAAATTGTATTAGATTATGTGAAAGATAATTTAACCCTGTCGTCCACAAGTTGAAGACACGGGCTCACAACTAGAAATCTGCAGAAGTATTACAAAAATGTAGGGATGAACCAATCCGTTGTTATGATATTATTCAATAACGTCCTTCGGTTTCCCGCTCGCCATTGTTTATGCACCGTTGTCTGTAACCGGACACCTATCGGGCTGCCTTACAATGTAAATTAGGTCTGCAGAGTTGCTGTACATGTCCTGATTCCGGTGCCAAGTCCATAGAGCATAAGTCTCGTTTTTCACCTGCAAGTCGCACAGAAATACTTCTTAATCTTGTAACCGCGTAATTTTATACAAATTGCGTTGGTTGGATCTATTTTTCTACACAAATGCAGACATTTTTCAAGTCGGCTTCGAGTAGTGTTTTTCTAAACAGCAATCATGAGGAGTCGAGACCTTAGCAGTTGATGCGGTCACAGAATTACGATTTCACAGTTTAATGAAGTTCTAGTTTTGCAGCTCAACGGGGATTCGGAATATTAGTTTCCATGCATGTGAAAGTGAACGTTCATAGTACTAAAAACTGAATGCAATTTGTTAAAGAAAGACTTAAATATGAAAATAATTTATCCGTAATACTGTCAAGAGTTTGTGTTTTCATAGCAAAGAGAAAAGGGAAGTACCTCTAGAATCCCATGGCCAAAGCTACTCTCTCGATACGCACTGTATTCAGGCTGCTTGTCCCAACAGAACTTTCCTGCTGCTGGCCCTTCTGTGAAATTAAATGCGCAGAAGCCGCCCATAAACTTATCCGGAGTTGTAGATGGTTCTGGGCAGTTTCCAGGTTCATCAGTATGCGCAATTGCCATCTTCTCCCGGTTACCACCATCACCAACTGTGATGTAAACAGGGCCGCAGGGATCCAATGTGTAGTTATACACTCGATTTGACCTCTCGTAGGCGTGAACCTGTTTATTAATTGTTTCCACACAGTCAGAAGTAACTCTCATATTTTTTCAACAGCTTGACAAAGCACATATAATGGAAACTGTTAAATACCACTAAGAATTCTGGATCGTATTTGGGGACTTCAAAAACAAGTTCCTTTGCTCAAACTAAACACTTACATGGCCGTTGAAGACGATGTCAACACCATACTTATACAGTATGTCTTCCATCTCAACTTTCATACATTCCTCTTCTCTGTAATGTGCCGTGTAGGTGCTGTACCATGGCGGGTGCCATGCTGCTACCAACCAAGGAGTCACATTTCTGTCAACTTTAGCCAAGTCTTTCTCCAACCACTTGTATTGATCGTCTGCGAGAGAAAACCTAGTCATCTTAGTATGTCCCTAACTCGTAACCATGCGAAAGAAGTGGAAATTTTCTTTTTAGGAAAGCAGATGCAATAACCTGATTTGTGATAGGCTGTGTAAGCACCGAGCATTATAAAGTGTATCCCGCCTGCGTTGAATGAATAAAACAATGTAGATGATGATCCACTCTCGTTGGAGGGGAATGCAAATCGCGAACTATAAGAAGCAAATGTTCGATTCCCAGCCTGTTCTTCGATCTCATGGTTCCCTTCTACCACCATCATTGGAACTTTAGACACTAGCGGCTGCATAAACCTGATAACAAACATACCATAATTTTGCAATTAGGTACGTTGTGCGAAAAATGACCAGGTGCTCCCTCATCAAAATAAAGCACAGGAAAACTCACCTTCCCCAGTAATCCCAACGAGGCTGATAAGTTTCGTGAATAGGAGTTTGCGAGAATGAGCAAGAGTAGCAATCAGACCCAGTGCCATTTGTGAGGTACAAGTTAGCATAAGTAACGTCCCCAACCAATAACATAAGATCAGGTCCGTTAGCCAACAAGTGATCGACCGTTGATGTAGTATTGTATGTAAGGCCAAGGTCCCCAACCACAGCTATTTTTCTGGGGTAACTCTTGGGACCGGAGGCTGGCATAGTCTTGAAATAAGATACTTTGCTCATATCTGCAATGCTAGGATCTCCACATTGATACTGATACAAAGTGTTGGGTCTCAATCCTGCACAAACCCTTTAAAATTCAGAGAACTGCACACAAAATCATACATCCGTAAGTCCAAACAAAAACAAATTCAGACAAGCGTTCGTGAACATAAATGCACGCGTATCATTTGATGATTTTGTTAATTTGATTTCGAAATCATGAATTTTAACTTATACGGAATAAAGTTAAACGATTAAACAATGGATACAACTACATGTTAAGGAGCAGATCATAAAACAATTTCATATTTTAGGATACAAATTATTCATAAAGGGATTCAAGACTGATACGTACCTGTGAGACGAACATGGTGTATAATTCCGGAAGTGTAGTTTTGGAGGCCTTCAAACGGATACAGCTGATTGTAAATAAGGGAATACCCCGTTGATTGGTTATCCATAGGGAATCCGTACCTTCCATATGTAACAATACTTGAAACATTATTCGGGTCCAGCGGTTTTATATTGTCTCCAATTTGAAATTCCCCTGCAAATTCGATCATGAGATAGATTTGAGAGTCTTCAATTCATCATGCAACTACATAACTCAATAGTTTTCGTTTACAAAAACAACAATCAAGTCTTATCTCACTAAATAGGGTTAGTTGTATGAATTCTAGAATGTCACTGCGTTCGGTTTTCTGCCAAGTCTTCCGTTGTTACATAACTCAATGGTTTTGGTTTACAACATTAAAGTGCTCAAGTCCACCCCAAAACATGCCCATCCAAAGACCAAAAGAAGTAACATTTCCATCCATGAACTGGCATCAGTCAATTGAATTCTAACAGTAATTATGATTTCTGTGTAACCAAACATTTATCAATGCCCCAAATAGGAAACAGTTAAAAGATTTTATTTTTCTCGAAAGGACGATATTCTTCTTATAATCTAACATAAACTACGGAAAGAGGTGTTAAAACTCGCATGCATGGGTGGAAGTACATTCACTCTAGCCAACGTGACTACGACATGAAATTAACATATCCTCGAAACAATCTCACTAAAATGTGAAAACCAAATATAAAACACATTTGTTAGATTAAAAACTCTCAATCTGCATAAGAACTTGAAAACAACATATCCAACCGAAAGTACAAGGTAAAGAAAGCAAAAGAACAAAAGAACAAAAGCTTGAGAGAGAGAGAGAGACCTGTAATCCAAGATATCCAGACAGAGTCATGGGTTGTAGAGAGAGAGACAGAGATTTGTTCGGGCTCGAAACCTTTGACGATTCTTCGAACTCGAGGATCAGTGTCCGGCAAGTCAACGGCATTGCCTCGAAAGCTGTCGTCGAGAGGAACAGTGACAGGCTTAAAGGGTCCTTCGAGGGTTGTCGGTATTCCTCCATTGACAAACGTGAAGCTCACGGGACTCACAGTCAGCACAAGCAGCAGATTAAAGGTTGCAACTTTGGGCGGTGGAAACAAAAACAAACCCATCTATTTTTACTATTATTATTGTTTGAATTAAACAGAACGAAACTCAAATATAAATAGAAGAACTGGACTTAGCTGCTGAAAGATCAGCAGCAGCAGTTGCTTACGACCAATCACAACTGGACACATGTCTAAGTTTTGATATTTGCTGCTGATCTGTTCAGTAGCGAAATTCTATCCTGATAGAAATAGAAACCCAACACGCCTTCCAGAAAAAACCAAAAAAGAAACCCAACAAAATTATTGAAGGCTTGCTGTAAAATCCTATGTTGAAGCTAAACGTCAAACAGACAAGGACAAAGAAAATATGGCCGGTTTTGACTTTTTTTTTAATATAAAAGCACTCCAAAATTTCGAGAGAAAACATCTACTTGTAAGCTAGGGTTTTTTGGTTCCCTTCTCTTAAATCAAATGTTGTGTCATCAATAGAAATAAGCACGTTAATCAACCCTTGAATAATAATCCAATCAACAACTTCCATGTCATTTAATTTAACATATTTTGTCTACAAATTTAGTCTTCTTAACATTATCCTTTCTAAATTATTAAATTTGGTGTGCTTTTCTAAGTGTTATTTTATCGAAGTCTTACTTGTAAAAACAAATAATCTCAGAACCGGCCCTGGTCAGTACTAGCCAGTTCAGTTTTTAATCTAAGCTACAATTGTGGTTCGCTACTCACCTATCAGTTCCTATCAGTTTTTAATCTAAGCTGCAATGGTGGTTTGCTACGCATCTATTAATTGTGGTTTGCTATGCACGTAAACGGCTGGAGGATTACAGAAGAAATGAAATTTTATTGGAAGAAATTGTATTAGATTGTGTGAAAGATAATTTAACCCTGTCGTCCACAAGTTGAAGACACGGGCTCACAACTAGAAATCTGCAGAAGTATTACAAAAATGTAGGGATGAACCAATCTGTTGTTATGATATTATTCAATAACGTCCTTCGGTTTCCCGCTCGCCATTGTTTATGCACCGTTGTCTGTAACCGGACACCTATCGGGCTGCCTTACAATGTAAATTAGGTCTGCAGAGGTGCTGTACATGTCCTGATTCCGGTGCCAAGTCCATAAAGCATAAGTCTCGTTTTTCACCTGCAAGTCGCACAGAAATACTTCTTAATCCTGTAACCGCGTAATTTTACACAAATTGCATTGGATGGATCTATTTTTCTACACAAATGCAGACATTTTTCAAGTCGGCTTCGAGTAGTGTTTTTCTAAACAGCACTCATCAGGAGTCGAGACCTTAGCAGTTGATGCGGTCACAGAATTACGATTTCACAGTTTAATGAAGTTCTAGTTTTGCAGCTCAACGTGGATTCGGAATATTAGTTTCCATGCATGTGAAAATGAACGTTCATAGTACTAAAAACTGAATGCAATTTGTTAAAGAAAGACTTAAATATGAAAATAATTTATCCGTAATACTGTCAAGAGTTTGTGTTTTCATAGCAAAGAGAAAAGGGAAGTACCTCTAGAATCCCATGGCCAAAGCTACTCTCTCGATACGCACTGTATTCAGGCTGCTTGTCCCAACAGAACTTTCCTGCTGCTGGGCCATTTGTGAAATTAAATGCGCAGAAGCCGCCCATAAACTTATCCGAAGTTGTAGATGGTTCTGGGCAGTTTCCGGGTTCATCAGCATGCGCAATTGCCATCTTCTCCCGGTTACCACCATCACCAACTGTGATGTAAACAGGGCCGCAGGGATCCAATGTGTAGTTATACACTCGATTTGACCTCTCGTAGGCGTGAACCTGTTTATTAATTGTTTCCAAACAGTCAGAAGTAACTCTCATATTTTTTCAACAGCTTGACAAAGCACATATAATGGAAACTGTTAATACCACTAAGAATTCTGGAACGTATTTGGGGACTTCAAAAACAAGTTCCTTTGCTCAAACTAAACACTTACATGGCCGTTGAAGACGATGTCAACACCATACTTGTACAGTATGTCTTCCATCTCAACTTTCATACATTCCTCTTCTCTGTAATGTGCCGTGTAGGTGCTGTACCATGGTGGGTGCCATGCTGCTACCAACCAAGGAGTCACATTTCTGTCAACTTTAGCCAAGTCTTTCTCCAACCACTTGTATTGATCGTCTGTGAGAGAAAACCTAGTCATCTTAGTATGTCCCTAACTAATAACCATGCGAAAGAAGTGAAAATTTTCTTTTTTGGGAAAGCAGATGCAGTAACCTGATTTGTGATAGGCTGTGTAAGCACCGAGCATTATAAAGTGTATCCCGCCTGCATTGAATGAATAAAACAATGTAGATGATGATCCACTCTCGTTGGAGGGGAATGCAAATCGCGAACTATAAGAAGCAAATGTTCGATTCCCAGCCTGTTCTTCGATCTCATGGTTCCCTTCTACCACCATCATTGGAACTTTAGACACTAGCGGCTGCATAAACCTGATAACAAACATACCATAATTTTGCAATTAGGTACGTTGTGCGAAAAATGACCAGGTGCTCCCTCATCAAAATAAAGCACAGAAAAACTCACCTTCCCCAGTAATCCCAACGAGGCTGATAAGTTTCATCAATAGGAGTTTGCGAGAATAAGCAAGAGTAGCAATCAGACCCAGTGCCATTTGTGAGGTACGTGTTAGCATAAGTAACGTCCCCAACCAATAACATAAGATCAGGTCCGTTAGCCAACAAGTGGTCGACCGTTGATGTAGTATTGTATGTAAGGCCAAGGTCCCCAACCACAGCTATTCTTCTGGGGTAACTCTTGGGACCGGATACTGGCATAGTCTTGAAATAAGATATTTTGCTCATATCTGCAATGTTAGGATCTCCACATTGATACTGATACAAAGTGTTGGGTCTCAATCCTGCACAAACCCGTTAATATTTAGAGAATTGCATACAAAATCATACATCCGTAAGTCCAAACAAAAGCAAATTCAGACGAGCGTTCGTGGACATACATGCACGCGTATCATTTGATGATTTTGTTAATTTGATTTCGAAATCATGAATCTTAACTTATACGGAATAAAGTTAAACGATTAAACAATGGATACAACTATATGTTAAGGAGCAGATCATAAAACAATTTCATATTTTAGGATACAAAATTATTCATAAGGGGATTCAAGACTGATTCGTACCTGTGAGACGAACATGGTGTATAATTCCGGAAGTGTAGTTTTGGAGGCCTTCAAACGGATACAGCTGATTGTAAATAAGGGAATACCCCGTTGATTGGTTATCCATAGGGAATCCGTACCTTCCATATGTAACAATACTTGAAACATTATTCGGATCCAACGGTTTTATATTGTCTCCAATTTGAAATTCCCCTGCAAATTCGATCATGAGATAGATTTGAGAGTCTTCAATTCATCATGCAACTACATAACTCAATAGTTTTCGTTTACAACAACAACAATTAGGTACGTTGTATGAATTCTAGAACGTCACTGCGTTCAGTTTCCGTCAAGTCTTCCGTTGTTACATAACTCAATGGTTTTGGTGTACAACATTAAAATGCTCAAGTCCACCCCAAAACATGCCCATCCAAAGACCAAAAGAAGTAACATTTCCATCCTTTAATATTCTTCTTATAATCTAACATAAACTACGGAAAGGGGTATCCAAACTCGCATGCATGGGTGGAAGTACATAATACATTCACTCTGGCCATCGTGACTACGACACGAAATTAACAGATCCTCCAAACAATCTCACTAAAATGTGAAAACTAAATATAAAACTCATTTGTTAGATTAAAAACTCTCAATCTGCATAAGAACTTGGAAACAACATATCCAACCAAAAGTACAAGGCAAGGAAAGCAAAAGAACAAAAGAACAAAAGCTTGAGAGAGAGAGACCTGTAATCCAAGATATCCAGACAGAGTCATAGGTTGTAGAGAGAGAGACAGAGATTTGTTCAGGCTCGAAACCCTTGACGATTCTTCGAACTCGAGGATCAGTGTCCGGCAATTCAACGGCATTGCCTCGAAAGCTGTCGTCGAGAGGAACAGTGACAGGCTTAAAGGGTCCTTCGAGGGTTGTCGGTATTCCTCCATTGACAAACGTGAAGCTCACGGGACTCACAGTCAGCACAAGCAGCAGATTAAAGGTTGCAATTTTGGGCGGTGGAAACAAAAACAAACCCATCTATTTTTACTATTATTATTGTTTGAATTAAACAGAAACGAAACTCAAATATAAATAGAAGAACTGGACTTCGCCGCTGAAAAATCAGCAGCAACTATTGCTTATAACTAATCACGACTGAACACGTGTCTAAATTTTAATTTTTTCTGATCTGTTCAGCAGTGAAGTTCTATCCTAAATAGAAATAGAAACCCAACACGTCTTCCAATAAAAAACAAAAACAGAAACCCAACAAAATTATTGAAGGCTTCCTATGTTGAAGCTAGAAGTCAAACAGACAAAGACAAAGAAAATATGGCCGGTTTTGATTTGTTTTTTTTTTAATACAAACGATGTATCTAATTCTAAACTCCGCTAAGGAGAGAAAGAGCGTTCAATTTTCTTAGATACTACGGAAGAAAAATGAACGTTTTATTTAGCGGAACAATCCTACATTTGCAACCGGATTCAATGAAATGAAGAGGATGACAGGTTTGGAGTTTCTTTTTAAGAAACTAATAATTTTGTTACTAGCAGTTATTTTATATTTAACAATTTTGTCAGTTTCAATCCGAGGCTTCTTTTGTTTCTGTATGAACACATGTTATATATAGTTGTTTATGCTTGCTTGATTTATGTTAACTAATTAGTATCTGAATTGTTATGTATGCATTGGATTGAGATTACTTTCCATTTACATTTAGGTTTTTATTTCTATTTTTAAAATGTATGAACTTATACACTTTTATTAATTTGTCATATAAATTAAAAATTTAAGAGATTTGTCACATCTAATTTATAAAATTATTAATTTGTCGTTTCACTCTAAGTTTTTCAACCAAAATAAGTAATGTGCAAAGGCACATGACTTGGTTTCAAGGTTATTTCAAACCCTTTAACTCGCGCCATGCCACTTCGA